AAGGCCAAAATTATTGAGCACTCAGTGAGGATCGAACTCTCTGCTCTGCCTTAATTGATCTAACGAGACAAGCTTGGTAAACATTACACAACGTCGAATTTCCCTGTTGCCTTTAAATATCCAACTGCGATAATAGAAGGCATGTTAAGAAATGCCAAGCCAAGATGTGACAATGAGGGGAGCTGTTAAGTAGACATAATAATCAAATCATTGTCGGGAAAAATGCCCATACGTCAAATGATGTAATAGCTAAGTATCACCTTGTGTATTGCTACGTGCTCGTTTTGTGCTCCATTTTACTATTCAATATGGCGGCGGCTGACTCCGCTGACAGGTACAAATACTGGCGGGAAAATCGAGCTGGCTTAATTTTAAGCGGCTCGGAATTGGTTTTGTTGAAACACAACGAATTGTATCACGTTCTCAATCACCGAGAATCTTGACTCTGCACGTGTTTGTCATGTGTTAATAATATCTATAAAATCGTAACACTAGATAGATAGATAGATAGATAGATAGATAGATAGATAGATAGATAATGAACAGACGGTGATAGATAGATAGATAGATAGATAGATAGATAGATAGATAGATAGATAGATTGTAGACAAAGGAATCATCAACTGGTATGGAGATCGCTTTGAGGCATGAAACAGATAAACCCCATGACGTCTCCATCCCTGTGCTACAACTGTTTACCTCTGTATATAACTGTCTATCCCTGTTATCAAAATCTATCAACATTCTACCTATCTCTGTCTCTCTTCTCTCTCTCTCTCTCTCTCTATATATATATATATATATATATATATATATATTAGAAAACTAAGAGTCTAAATGGATGCAACCGAATTCGCTATAAAAGTTTGTTTAGAGCACTATTTTTATCTCGCTTGTAACATACCCTTTTGATAGTGTTGCTAATTTTTTTATTTAATTTTATATATATATATATATATATATATATATAAAGAAAAGAACAGTAAGATATATAATCCGTTGTTCTTATAGATATTTTTATTTTTACAAAATAGTGCTCAATGTAAATTTACAGAACATTAAAATTATAAATTAATTGATTTAAAATATGTTTTTTTTAAACATGGTTAGAATTGTGTAGCGAAAAAAAAACATATTTTAAATCAATTAATTTTATAATATATATATATATATATATATATATATATATATATATATATATATGATGAGTACAGTATCCTTAGAAATCTATGATTTTTAAGGATTCTGTATTTATTTTATATTGCTCTGCTCTTACATTGAGCTCTCTTTGGAGTTAGCCCTACTAATTATCAATTGATATTATTCATATATATATATATATATATATATATATATATATATATATATATAATGATAAAAATGTAGTTTAAGGTATGCTATATTTATGAGTTAAAGTGCATATGTAAATAAAAATATAAAATACCCTGACGATTGCCTTTAAGCATTAAACAAAACTGCTAAGGGCCGACTTCAATGTCATTTTTTATATATATCACAAAAATAGGGTTTTATGGTATGCTATACTTATGGGCAAAATTTCTCAATATCAGTCATAGAACGTATATATATATATATTTTATATATATATATATATATATATATATGAAAGTGAATATAAATATAAATAAATATATATATATGTATAATTATTTATATATTATATGCGCGGTACTTATTAGAAAGCGCTCAATATCAGAGATAGAGCTAACATATTTGGTTGGATAGATGTGAGTTTTGTGACCCTGGGTTTCACGCTTTGTCTGACGATCGCTAAAGCGTGAAACCCAGGTCACAAACTCACATCTATCCAACCAAATATATATATATATATATATATATATATATATATATATATATATATACAGTGGTCAATCCACACCGAGTTTGATTTATCTTTGCTGCATACTTCCTTTATAAATGATAGGTTGGTGATGCTGGTGTTGAGGAAACGCAAATGTGATTGCGCCGGGGACTAGCTTGCTATCCTGACAGAAAGGGTTACAATTAACTGGCCATTGTTTCTATGAGCTCCGTTTCAAAGCCATTCGCTTAACAACGAAGAGTCTACCATTTGTACTATGTGCGACTTCGCCTTTCAACCTAATCTAATAAAACTCCAGGCATGATATTCTCTTACGATACAAATAAACGCGTTAATCAAGTCAACATACAAAGATGAAACGCATTTAGAAAATGATTTTTCAACTCAAACACTTTCTCTTCCTCCATAATAAAATTAATTTTAACAATTAATTAATAATAATTTTCTACATAAAACGTGTGAAAGAAAGCGCGATACCCTGCGGTCGTCAGCCTCCAACCACGGGAGGTAACACAGTTTCGGTGGCTAAGGCAGTACTGCCACCCCTGGCGCCACCAACAGCTTTTGCCAACGGACAGAATAATGTTTATTGTGTAAACGTGCCAGTCTCTTGCGATTGCTAAAAGCGTTTTTTTTTTTTATTATTACCACTGGGTTTACGAAATTCTCGCAGTCTGACTCGAAAGAGATCGTCTTTTGCTTGTCTTTTTTTTTCATTATTTATTTTTTTATCATTTCACCCCAAGCATAGCGATAATGCCTCTAAGACACAAGAGGTCTAAAAGAGCATCATTAAGAATGAAAGTCTGATACATTAGTGCGGAATAGGGAAGAAATTCATTTTAGTGGGGAATATTTTTAGGCATGCTTAAGTATATTAACCGGCTCAGTGCTTTTTCAGCATCGGTTTTTCTTAAGCTTCATAATCTGGCATAAGATCACAGATGTGGATTATTGATAATTGTTGTGGCCTTGTTAGGGCCAGAAATAAAGACACAGAGAGAGGAATTGTGTTAAACAAATATATTAACAGAAACAGTACTACAAACATATACAAACGAGAGTGTTACGGCAAGAATGTTCGGTTCAACTGTCAGAGCTGACTGCTGGAAATTTCTCTTCCTCAAAAAGGCAGTACCTGCTCCTATTTATAGCTGAGAGAGTTCGTGCGTGCGTAAGTAAATTATCATAATAGATAGATAGATAGATAGATAGATAGATAGATAGATAGATATGAACAGAAGGGGATAGAGAGATATGGACAGAAAGAGATAGGGAGATAGATATGAACAGATAGATAGATAGATAGATAGATAGATAGATAGATAGATAGATAAATAGATAGATATTGTTATGGCTTTGTTAGGGCCAGAAATAAAGGCACAAGAGAGGAATTGAGTTAAACAAATATGTTATCAGAAACAGTAATACAAACAAGCGTGTTACAGCAATAAAATTCAGTCCGACTCTCAGAGGTGACTGCTGGAATCTTCACTCTCTCCAAAAGGCAGTACCTGCTCCTATTTATAGCTGGGAGAGTTCGTGCGTGCGTGAGTAAATTATCATAACAGATAGATAGATAGATAGATAGATAGATAGATAGATAGATAGATAGATAGATATGAACAGAAGGGGATAGAGAGATGTGGACAGAAAGAGATAGGGAGATAGATATGAACAAATAGATAGATAAATAGATAGATAGATAGATATGAACAGAAGGGGATAGAGAGATATGGACAGAAAGAGGTAAGGAGATAGATAGATAGATAGATAGATAGATAGATAGATAGATATGAACAGAAGGAGATAGAGAGATATGGACAGAAAGAGATAGGGAGATAGATATGAACAGATAGATAGATAGATAGATAGATAGATAGATAGATAGATAGATATTGTTATGGCTTTGTTAGGGCCAGAAATAAAGGCACAAGAGAGGAATTGAGTTAAACAAATATGTTATCAGAAACAGTAATACAAACAAGCGTGTTACAGCAATAAAATTCAGTCCGACTCTCAGAGGTGACTGCTGGAATCTTCACTCTCTCCAAAAGGCAGTACCTGCTCCTATTTATAGCTGGGAGAGTTCGTGCGTGCGTGAGTAAATTATCATAATAGATAGATAGATAGATAGATAGATAGATAGATAGATAGATATGGACAGAAGGGGATAGAGAGATATGGACAGAAAGAGATAGGGAGATAGATATGAACAAATAGATAGATAGATAGATATGAACAGAAGGGGATAGAGAGATATGGACAGAAAGAGGTAAGGAGATAGATAGATAGATAGATAGATAGATAGATAGATAGATATGAACAGAAGGAGATAGAGAGATATGGACAGAAAGAGATAGGGAGATAGATATGAACAGATAGATAGATAGATAGATAGATAGATAGATAGATAGATAGATAGATATTGTTATGGCTTTGTTAGGGCCAGAAATAAAGGCACAAGAGAGGAATTGAGTTAAACAAATATGTTATCAGAAACAGTAATACAAACAAGCGTGTTACAGCAAGAATATTCAGTCCGACTCTCAGAGGTGACTGCTGGAATCTTCACTCTCTCAAAAGGCAGTACCTGCTCCTATTTATAGCTGGGAGAGTTCGTGCGTGCCTGAGTAAATTATCATAATAGATAGATAGATAGATAGATAGATAGATAGATAGATAGATAGATAGATATGAACAGAAGGGGATAGAGAGATGTGGACAGAAAGAGATAGGGAGATAGATATGAACAAATAGATAGATAAATAGATAGATAGATAGATATGAACAGAAGGGGATAGAGAGATATGGACAGAAAGAGGTAAGGAGATAGATAGATAGATAGATAGATAGATAGATAGATAGATAGATATGAACAGAAGGAGATAGAGAGATATGGACAGAAAGAGATAGGGAGATAGATATGAACAGATAGATAGATAGATAGATAGATAGATAGATAGATAGATAGATAGATATTGTTATGGCTTTGTTAGGGCCAGAAATAAAGGCACAAGAGAGGAATTGAGTTAAACAAATATGTTATCAGAAACAGTAATACAAACAAGCGTGTTACAGCAATAAAATTCAGTCCGACTCTCAGAGGTGACTGCTGGAATCTTCACTCTCTCCAAAAGGCAGTACCTGCTCCTATTTATAGCTGGGAGAGTTCGTGCGTGCGTGAGTAAATTATCATAATAGATAGATAGATAGATAGATAGATAGATAGATAGATAGATAGATAGATAGATAGATAGATATGGACAGAAGGGGATAGAGAGATATGGACAGAAAGAGATAGGGAGATAGATATGAACAAATAGATAGATAGATAGATATGAACAGAAGGGGATAGAGAGATATGGACAGAAAGAGGTAAGGAGATAGATAGATAGATAGATAGATAGATAGATAGATAGATAGATAGATAGATAGATAGATATGAACAGAAGGAGATAGAGAGATATGGACAGAAAGAGATAGGGAGATAGATATGAACAGATAGATAGATAGATAGATAGATAGATAGATAGATAGATAGATAGATATTGTTATGGCTTTGTTAGGGCCAGAAATAAAGGCACAAGAGAGGAATTGAGTTAAACAAATATGTTATCAGAAACAGTAATACAAACAAGCGTGTTACAGCAAGAATATTCAGTCCGACTCTCAGAGGTGACTGCTGGAATCTTCACTCTCTCTAAAAGGCAGTACCTGCTCCTATTTATAGCTGGGAGAGTTCGTGCGTGCGTGAGTAAATTATCATAATAGATAGATAGATAGATAGATAGATAGATAGATAGATAGATAGATATGAACAGAAGGGGATAGAGAGATATGGACAGAAAGAGATAGGGAGATAGATATGAACAAATAGATAGATAGATAGATAGATAGATAGATAGATAGATAGATAGATAGATAGATAGATAGATATGAACAGAAGGGGATAGAGAGATATGGACAGAAAGAGGTAAGGAGATAGATAGATAGATAGATAGATAGATAGATAGATAGATAGATAGATAGATAGATAGATATGAACAGAAGGAGATAGAGAGATATGGACAGAAAGAGATAGGGAGATAGATATGAACAGATAGATAGATAGATAGATAGATAGATATTGTTATGGCTTTGTTAGGGCCAGAAATAAAGGCACAAGAGAGGAATTGAGTTAAACAAATATGTTATCAGAAACAGTAATACAAACAAGCGTGTTACAGCAAGAATATTCAGTCCGACTCTCAGAGGTGACTTCTGGAATCTTCACTCTCTCCAAAAGGCAGTACCTGCTCCTATTTATAGCTGGGAGAGTTCGTGCGTGCGTGAGTAAATTATCATAATAGATAGATAGATAGATAGATAGATAGATAGATAGATAGATAGATATGAACAGATGGGGATAGAGAGATATGGACAGAAAGAGATAGGGAGATAGATATGAACAAATAGATAGATAGATAGATAGATAGATAGATAGATAGATAGATATGAACAGAAGGGGATAGAGAGATATGGACAGAAAGAGGTAGGGAGATAGATAGATAGATAGATAGATAGATAGATAGATAGATAGATAGATATTAACAGAAGGAGATAGAGAGATATGGACAGAAAGAGATAGGGAGATAGATATGAACAGATAGATAGATAGATAGATAGATAGATAGATAGATAGATAGATAGATAGATATTGTTATGGCTTTGTTAGGGCCAGAAATAAAGGCACAAGAGAGGAATTGAGTTAAACAAATATGTTATCAGAAACAGTAATACAAACAAGCGTGTTACAGCAAGAATATTCAGTCCGACTCTCAGAGGTGACTGCTGGAATCTTCACTCTCTCCAAAAGGCAGTACCTGCTCCTATTTATACAATGATAAAATTCACTGTTTTGTGAAGCACGATTTTTTTCTTTCCAAAAATGGCACCTACCTTGTTTACTCGGTTATCCAGCCAGGAATTGAAAAATGTGTTAAAATAATTAAAACATCCTGGTTATTTGGATAGCTTTTGAACACAAGAAGAGGTTTATCCCTTGTCTCCTGTTTATGATTGTGTTTCCGGTTCCTGCTAAAGCTTCTCACTCTCTTTAACACTTTTTGCATCTTAGTGGCATTATCGCATTGCTTGGGGTGAAATGATTAAAAAAAAAAAAAAAAAACAAAAAAAACGAATGAATAAAAAATCATTTTCTGAATGAAATTTAACAATTAATGCCTTCTTCAAGTTTTTGCTCAGTTTATTATCAATATCTTTCTTCTCATCATGTAAGCTGAAAGCGAAGGTTTCCGCGAGGAAAGTTGGCTCTCTGTGCCGCGCCAGGAAATTTTTCTCCCCGGAAAGGATACTTCAAATATACAAATCAACCATTCGCCCTTGCATGGAGTATTACTGCCATATATGGTCTGGTGCACCTTCTGCTTACCTCGGAGTTCTTGACAAGATCCAGAGACGGATATGTAATATAATTGGCCCTGATCTGGCATCTCGTCTACAGTCACTCTCTCACAGACGCGCCGTCGCCTCTCTCTGTCTTTTCTACAAATACTTTCATGGTAATTGCTCCTAAGAGCTGCTTTCACTGGTTCCCAGACTTCATGAATTCAAGGGTCCTACGAGGCTGGCATCCCGCTCTTACCCTTTCACTGTAGAAACTTTTAAATGTAGCCGTCTCTTCTACTCCAATAGCTTCATATCTCGCACCTCTCGCGTGTGGAACTCCCTTCCCTATTCCAGTTTTCCTGAGAGCTATAATCTCCAACTATTGAAATGTAATGTCAATCGACATCTCCAGTTACCTTGATCTATCCACTATCCTTCTCCTCATCCTTTCTTCTATCACTCCTATCTGGTCTCGCTCCAAATCTTCTGCAACCCCTGCACCCTAGTGGCTTCACGCCTTGCTCGGGGCGTAATGCTTAAAAAAAAAAGAGCAAATGCTTGCTAAATAGAAATTACCAAACATACATTGTTAACCCAAAATGCAAATTTTGTGATAAATATCCAGAAACAATTGACTAGCTTTTATCAAGTTGCACGGTGTGAGTATCCACTGAATATAAAACCCGGCATGATAGATTGAGCCAATATCTGCACTGGTAAATATACAACCTTTACGAGAAGGAAACTACAAGAAACTGGTATGCACATCCCCCAGACCCGGTTACGGAGATACGATCTGGAATAATTTTATGGGACTTTACAATACACAAAGACAGAACAGTTAATCGGCCAGACATCGTAATCAAAGACCACAAGAACAGAATGTGCTTTTTTATGGAAATTCATGCAGATTGTAATATATCTTTAAAGATCTTCAAAAGACTATCAAAATACAAGGATCTTGAAATAGAAATCTAAAAATATGGAACATGAGTATATCAGTAATTCCAGTTGTAGTTGGAGCACTCGTACTGATTGGAAAAGGTTCCGATGGACTCATTGAATCCCTGGTAGTCCATGTCTTAAAGAAATACAAAAAGATTTATACTCACAAGTACAGCCCTCACCTTACGAAGGGTTTTTTCTTTGTAAAATATGTGCGATTTGTTTTTCAAACCTGCTCAGTCATGATACCATTTCTGACCTTAGGTCTCTGGGCGGTACCTGGAAAGAAATGTGTACACACCAGAAATCAAAGGAAATAATAATAATAATAATAATAATAATAATAATAATAATAATAATAAAAAAATAGAAAATAAAAATAGAAATAAAATAGAAATCTCAAAAATGCGGCATATGGGAACATCAACAATCCCTGTTGTAGATGGAGCCCTAGGACTGGTTGGAAAAGATTGCAGTAGACTAACTGAAGGGATTCCTGGAAGTCCATGCAGCAAGGAGATACAAAAAATTGTTCTGACAAGTACAGCCCACACTTTACGAAGGGCTTTATCTATGTAATATTTTTTTTTTTTTTTTTTTTTTTTTGCCAATGGAAAGTGTCATAACGCCATTTCTAACCTTAGGTCCCTGGGCGGGACCCGGAAAGAAATGTGTAAACGCCAGAAATCAAAGGAAATAATAATAATAATAATGATAATAATAATAATAATAATAATAATAATAATAAATGAAAATCAAGCAGACACGGTTACAGAAGTAGGGCCTGTAGCAATTTTATGGGACTTTAAAATAAACACAATTAAAGCTAATCGCCCAGACATTGTAATCAAAGACCACAAGAACAGGATGTGCATTTTTATTGACATGGAAGTTCATGCAGATTGTGATCTTTGGATATATTAAAAAAAAACTATCAAAATAGAAAGATCTTAAAATGGAAATCTCAAAAATGTGGGCATTATTTCAAGTGGGAGGGGTGGGATATCACCGCCTTAAAACATTAACCAATTTGGGACAATACGGCCAGATATAATTTAATTTCCTTCTTTTTCCCGTCTTTTATTCTTAGTTTAGCATCAAGAAAACTGCCAGAAGTTACCTTCATGACATCTGCATTTCTTTTTAAAAATACAGTTGAATGTTATTGATAATGATATTGCATGTGCAATAACAATAATAATGGGCCAATACCTGCACTGGAAAATCTGCAACTTCTACGGGAAGGAAACTGAAAGAAACTGGTATGAACACCACCCAGACCCGGTTACGGAGATAGGACCTGTTACAATTCTATGGGATTACACAATACACACTGACAGAAAAATCAAAGCCAACCGCCCAGATATTGTTATTAAAAACCACAAACAAAAACGATGCCTCCTTATTGATATGGCAGTCCCTGCTGACTGCAATGTATCTTTAAAGATATTCAAAAAGCTGTCAAAGTACAAGGACCTTGAAATAGAAATCTCGAAAATGTGGCATATGGGAACATCAACAATCACTGTTGTAGTTGGAGCCCTAGGACTGGTTGGAAAAGATTGCAGTAGACTAATTGAAGGGATTCCTGGAAGTCCATGCCTCAAGGAGATAAAAAAATTATTCTGACAAGTACAGCCCACACTTTACGAAGGGCTTTATCTATGTAATTTAATTTTTTTTTTTTTGTTTCTTCTCAGTGGAAAGTCATGACGCCATTTCTAAACTTAGGTCCCTGGGCGAGACCCGGAAAGAAATGTGTAAACGCCAGAAATCAAAGAAAATAAAAAAAATAATAATAATAAATGAACATCAAGCAGACCTGGTTACAAAGATAGGACCTGTAGCAATTTTATGGGACTTTAAAATAAACACAATCAAAGCTAATCGCCCAGATATCGTGATCAAAGGCCACAAGAATAGGATATACTTTCTTATTGACATGGCTGTCTCTGCAGATTGTAATGTATCTTTGGAGATATCCAAAATATACAATGATCTTCAAGTGGAAATCTAAAACATTTTATATTTACTGGGTGCTAACAGCGTGCAACCTGATACAAGCTGGTCATTTTTACTGGATATTTATCACAAAATTTGCATTTCGGGTTAACAATTTTTTTTCAGTATGTGTGCTTTGTAATTTCTAGTTAGCAAAGCATTCAGTGGCCGCGGACGCCTCTCCAGATGCGGCAATGGACTCTTCGCATGGAAGGAAAGGTCGTTAAACATCCCAATACTCGGCAATGACGTCGACGATTACTTGACCACAAGGATGATGTCGGACACAGCATCAACAGAACTTGAGGAACTTTTTAACACGAACGATTGCAATTCTGACGAACGCCTTTAGGCACACATTCGGAAAAAAATCCGCCATTTTGTTCAACTAGAAAAACACATGAATATAATTATCTGTGTAAAATACAAATATACAACCTCAAGGGAATGAACACTATGACAAGTGAATTCCATATGTTTGCACTTATATCAGAAAATAGCATTTTTCAAATGCTTTTTTCAATGTTTTGTCCAAAATGTTTCCGATTGATAAAAGAATATATCGATTTTTATTCGTTTCCAGTTAGTCTTGCGTTTTTCTTACGCTAACCGCCGAAACTGATCCAAGCATGACCAAACAGTAACATTTCAAATGCATACTGTTTGCATAAAAACAATGGTAAAATCATATTCTGTAATACTAATTAGCGTCTTAGTGACTTTATTGCCTTCCATGTGAAGTGATTAAAAAGTTCTTTGTACGAAAACAACAAAAAGAATTAACATGAATTGAACTGATTTTATCAGCTTTTTATTTTCAAACGTTGCATATGGTTTTCTAAATTCTGAGATTAAATATTAGAATACGTTTATTTTGGAGAGTAGCCTGATGTAACAAAAGGCCAAAAGTGTGGAGCACTCAGTGAGGATCGAACTCACTATTCATAATTGATCTAGCGAGGCAAGCTTGCTAACGATTATAACCCGTCGAAGTCTCCAAATGCTGGTTTTCTAAGAGAAGCCTGGATGTGGTACAAAGTCGAAAGTATGTGACTTCCAGTGAGGATCGAATTGTGTTTTAATATTTAATCAGTCGGTATTGACCTGGCGAGGCAAAGTGCTCAAATGATTTTCTAAGCGTAGATAAGATGTGGCACAAGGCCGAGATTGAAGGGCACCCTGTGAGTATACTGTGAGGATCAAACTCACTACTCAGTCGTAATTGATTTTATATGTCAGCCATTACACCGCCTCGAAGTGCCTAAATCGCCAATCGTAATATGTCGGTAAAGAAAGCTGTCAAACAGCTAACGTAATTTGCCCTTCTGGCTTACGCCCGACATCAGCGCGGACAAGTGATTGAGGGACGAGATCGTAAGGAATAATTCCTCCCAATAAATCACTCTCTGGCCGACGTCGCGGTTTGTAACACAATACCTTGTGATCAGCGCTACAGAAGCATTGATCACAAACGCTATTCATTTCCAGTGATGAATGTTCACGCTGGGTCGTCTACTTCTGAAAAGAAATCGACAAGGGAAAGAGAGAGATCGTCAAGTAAAACTAGCAAAATAAAACGGTAATCGTAAAGGCTATTTATTTCTTTGTGGGTTTTGATTCTGCGAGCTTATGTAATAATTCTAAACATAAAAAGGAGAGAGAACGAATGTCTTTACAAAGAAAACAGAAGTCAGTTGACCACAATAGGGAATCTTTTCTAAATACTTTTTAAGTACAAATAGTGCGCTTGACATCGACACGCACACACAAAACACAAATATATATATATATATATCTGTGTGTGTGCGTGTGTGTTGTTTTCTTAGGTCAAATGTCCCAATACCTCTTTTATATAAAAGACATAAATATATTTCGAAAATATATAAAAGCTTGAACGGCTGCCGTGGCGTGATTGTCAGCAAGTTCATGTCGCCCCAGCCAACAAAATGATTGGTTTAGTTCGGTTTGTTTTAGACCATATCAACCTCAATGGGTTATTTAATGCCGACAAGATTTTTAGGATAGATTCGTATGAATAGAATATGTATTCTTTGTAAGAAATCAGTTTAGTTTTGTTTATTTTGTTTTATGGCATATCAACACCTCAATGGGTTATTTAATGCCGACATGATTTTTAGGATATGTTCGTATGAATAAAATATGTATTCTTTATAAGAAATCAGTTTAGTTTGGTTTATTTTGTTTTACGGCATATTAACACCTCAATGGGTTATTTAATGTCGACAAGATTTTTATTGCTATTAATATTTTTTCCGAAAATATAATGCTGGTAATAATTTTAAAAAAATGTATTGCTGGTATTAAAACCTTTTTTTTTATACTTTCATAGTGTTTTGACCCCAGTTTGGGTGTTAACTATTTGCCCACCGCTTGGACCCTAACAGGTGCTACCACCCCGGGTCAGGGTGGATCTGGGAACACCAGCAATTAAGAGGTGGTTCCACGCTCCTCAAAACCTCATGATCAGAGGCCTTGCTGTTCGATGTAGTTTATCGTCTGACCCAGGACGCGGATGTTGTTTATGGTCATACCCAGGACGCCAACAAAATGATCTTGCTACAAAGTTTGCTGCAATTCTACATTCATCTTCCGAACGTTGGCGATCATGGCACTCTACAGTAACCGCCCAGTAAATTTTATCTTTTTGCTATCTTTTTTTTTTAAGTATTTCAACGCAAGGAAGGCGTAAGTGCCACTAGCACGCGAGGGATTACGGAGAGTAAAGAGGGGTGTTTGAGGAAAGTATATAAAGAAAGATGGAGATCAGGATCGAGGCATCAGAAGATGTTGATTGACATTACATTTGAATATTTGAAGATTATAGCTATCAGGGAAGCAAATAAGAGGAAGGGAGTTCTACTGTCGGGAAGGGCAAGAGAAACAACTGTTCGGGTAGAAAAGGCGGTTACATTTAACTGTTTCGACAGTAAAAAGGTGGCATCGAAATGCCAACCTAGTCTTTTTTTTCTCTTTTCATGTGCCATGTCCTTTCAGGAAATAGGCGATCATGGCTCGCCACTTCCTTCTATCCCTTGCACCTCTCAACAAATTCCTTCCCTCTGCTTCCTCCCCCAGACCACGTTCTGTCATCCACTTGCTTAAGTCACGCGTTGTTTTCCCTTGTCTCTCTTTCCCTCTATTCGACCCGCAAGTGTCAGATTCTCCAGGCCTTCCTTTTTCATTAAGTGTCCCAAAAACTTCAGCTACCTCATTCTGATGTTAAGTATAAGCCTCCTCCTTCTTTGCTTCCTCTCCAAAACCTCATCGTTGTTCACATGATATCCATAGGGTCCTTCTGTAGAACCACATCTCTATCGCCTCGAGTGTTATAGCCATCATAATACGTAGAAATCTGTCGGTGTTTCATCTCTTCGATAATCTAAATATTTAACTAATTATCTAAACAACAAAGATGAGGATATTAGTGCTTATAATTTATAGAATTTTAGTCTCTTCGTTCTTCATAGTTCAGGGAAGGCCGCAGAATCACTTGACCAAAGGATAATTATTGAAACAAAAAAGATAAGGATATCCTTCTCTTTTTATGTGCCATGTCCTTTCAGGACGTAGATGATTATGGCTCTCCACCTCCTTCTATCCCTTGCAGATCTCAATAAGTCCCTTCCCTCTGCTTCTTCCCCCAGACCACTTTCTGTCATCCACTTTCTTAAGCCCGCCAGTAAAGTCATGCGTTTTATTCCCTTGTCTCTCTTTACCTCTATTCGACACGTGAGTGTCAGTTTCTCTAGGCCCTCTTTCCTCATTATGTGTTCCCAAAACTTCATCTGCCTCTTCCTGGGCCTATAAGAATAAGACTCCTCCTTGTTTGCATCCTCTCTCATCGTTGCTCACAAGCTCGGTCCATAATATCCTTAGCATCCTTCTGTAGAACCACATCTCCGTTGCCTCGAGTCTCTTCTTCATCTTTGGGGAAATCGTCCAACATTCACTGCCGTAAAGAAGGACAGCTCAGTATTCATTTCTTCGTTAAGTATCTCCCAAAACTCTCCCAGCTTTAGGAATGCGTCCTTGGTCATCCGAAATCGTCCACATATCTCAGTGTCGCACTTACCGTCCTCTGTCAAAACGCTTCCCAGATATTTAAACTTCCGCGTCTGCTTGATTCTAGTGTTCCCGACCTGCAAATCGCATTTCGGGATCATCCTTTTACTAATGACCATGCCAACCTAGTAGAACACTTAAATTCATGCAGATAGGGTACTAGTGAAAGTAGCTCGTCAGTGCACTTGCCATGGAAATATTTGTAGAAAAGATAGACAGAAGCCACACTGTCAGAAAGTGTCTGTAGATGAGGTGCCAGATCAGGACCTTTCACATTGCATATCCGTCTTTGCATCTCTCCTGAACCTGTTCTGCCATCCATTTACTCGCTCTTGTCCGTCTTACGTTCATTTTTGGGGAAAGGTATGGATCCACCTCTTCGTCTCCCCAGCTATGGGTTAATTAGTAAATATAAATGGCGCTGCTTTCAACACCTATAGAGCCCACCTGCAACTCTTAGTTACAGTTTTCGTGAGATAGCGCGTTACGTGACCAACAGTCTGCATCAATCTTGTGGCAGGACAACCATCGACGGCTCCCAAGGACTTCGTTTACCCAAATTTCACTCACTTGGGTTAACCCATGGTATCATTTTCAGGTCCTTTCCAAATCAGAGGCGATAACATATCGACTAAGGTGAAATTTGAACTAACCACTCGGCCACATGCCCATCAATAGGTTAAATAGAAAGACTAGTATTACTGAAGCATTATTATCTAAAATATTTTCTAGCTTTAAATAAGCTGCAAAGGATTGTCAATGAAATATTCATTAGTTTAAGAGGCATTTCTTTAAGATTAATTTACATTCCATAAAATATGTATAAAAACTATCGTGGCTACAAAATGAGTGATCAGTTTATATAATAATTGTAATATAAAACTGATCCCCCATTTTATATCCATATAATCATTTCTTGTTTTTTTTTTTAATTAAAATCTGATTAGGTATGAAACCAGCTCTTCTGCTTCTATCAATGGTTTAATTAGTATTACTAAACCATTATTATCTAAAAATATTTTCTGGCTTTAAATAAGCTACAAAGTGTCGATAAGCCGTAAAAAAAGACGAATCAATCAATAAAACCTGATCGCACTATCTTAAACATATGTATACATGTGACTGTGTAATCAGATATTTCTACTGAAACTCCTCCTGTTAGGACGTCCTCGGATGCGGCGCTTAAATGGTCCCAATCCTCCTTAGGGGAACGAGAGCATCTAATTCCCTCTAGTTATGATTTAGGAGGGCAGATTAGGCTCTCTAGCTGTAGTTGCCAACCCGCCTAGGGAGACGACAACATTGAATTCAAAATATATTAAAAGATGCTTTCCCCATCACTCCTATATTAACTTCTCCATGTCGAGGGTCAACTATTATCTATCCGAAATATCCCCAAAATATGCACTTTGACCTCCTTCTCTGTATGCCCCTCTAGAGCAAGGATTGGCAACCTTTTTGAGAGTGCCTGCCAAAACTGGCCAAATCTCTGGCACAATTTTTTTCCACGTGCCAACAAAAAATGTTTGCCGATCCCTGCTGTAACCCTCAAAATAAACGTCCAGAATATTGCTTAACTGTAGATTTTAGGTAAAAATGGCATCTTTTCGCGCGGCCTATGGTCACATCAAGTTGAAACACCAGTTCTCGAAGTTAAGCAACGTCGAGCCTGGTCATTACCTAGATGGGTGACCGCTTGTTAATACCATGTTCTTTAAGCTTAGAAGTGCGGGCGATGTAAAAGATAATAGCTCAGAAATGTTAATCAGAGAGCCGAGTACAAATTCCGGTTGAGTTCATTAAATGCACTCTCACGCAAATATTCTTGAGAAAGGCATGAATCCAGCTTTCCCTTCCCAGCTATACTAAACCCTTATTTTCTCAAAAATAAAATTGCGTCCAAGTGGTGGGAAACCTTTTTGAGAGTGCGTGCCAAATCAGGCCAAAACTCTGACATAAAATTTTTCCGTGTCAACAAAAAGTTTTGAAATTGGATCTGGGAACTGACCCTACCTGAAACAAAAGTATAAACCTGTTTTTTTGTTTGTTTGTTTTTGTTTTTTTTTTGTCTTGCTCATTTCACGAGAAATTAATTCTCTTTTTTCCTCTTCCATTTTATTGCTTAAGTCCTTATGAACACTTTCAAATTGTCCCTTATCAGAAGAAGACCTACAAACGATTGTTTCGGAACAGAAAATGAATAAGGCTTTATTTTCTTCATTCACACTTTCAGTCCTGCGTTCCTCAACAATTTTAACCTTTCTGCCTGAGCTCCTGAGTCAAAATTCGCAAATAACTGATATGTAATGTTTCACGATAGATATAAAAAAACAGTTACAAGTGTTTACCCACAATTCAACCGGTAGCTGGGCTTTAAGTCATTTTTATCTACCACTGTT